GGAGTATGGATTTTCATGTGTCAGAGTCCATTTCTTAAGACTGGATACAAAATGATGATGGGCACGACAAATGACCCAGGCACTTTGCCTTTTATTCTTATCTATCCCTTAACATAGCTACATTTGTTCTATATTTAATGGGATTTATGTGTCTTGTTCCTTCCTATCAGCTTTAATAATAGACCTATTTTTTGTCTCTTATTCTCAATGACATCTGCCATAGACAGGGGGCTTATTACCCATGTTTGTTGGAAGGATGAGTGCATTTTATTCTGGGATAAAAATGAAACTTATCTAGTCTGTTGAGGGTAGGATACCCCTGTAGGTTTCTAAACTGGTTCTGGCTGCACAGTCATGTGGCAAACAGCAGAGAGATCAGACTGAACATGACCACACCTGTAGAAAGAGCCTTCTTCTATTTCCTAAGCTCTTTCCTGATTGCCTGATTGAATCCCTAACCTTGGCCTCTCTGGCTTGCCTAGATTATGCTGTGGGCCAAACTCTTCTGACTTCAGCTTACTTCCCAAATCTCAACCTCTTCATTGTCTAAATTAATGTAACTGTTTATCTTTTCTGAGGGCTAACTTGATGTATGATCATTATGTCTTTGCTATTCAGCATTATTTTGCCATTATCCACATCCCAAGATGATTTTGGGAGGATATATTTATATAAGACAAAGTTTCAGTACCATTGGCATTTTGAGCCAGACACTTCTTTGTGGTGAAGGGCTGCTCTGTTTGCCATAGGATGTTTAGTAGCATCACTGTTCTGGTCTCTATCCCTAAAGGCCAGCAGCATCCCCTTTTCCCATTTGTGACAGCCCCAAATGTCAATCATTGCCTGGGGACAAGTTCCCGCCTGTTTGAAAGTCACTGATATAAGGCTATATAACCAAAAGAGATCTTAGATGTCGTTAAATTTATTTCCCCTCTCTCACTTTACAAATGAAGAAACTGAGGCCCAGAGTAGTGAAATGGATTGCCCAAAGTAACACAGAAAATTGTCAGTAATGCTGACAATAGACTTCACATATTTTAACTCTCAGTCTTGTGCTTTCTTCATCATGGTGAAATCTCCTCAAGAGGTGGTCAAGTAAAGTGGAAATGCAGTGACTTCGGAGACAGACAGATTCAGATTATAATCTGCGTCAACCCATTGGTTGGCCATATGATGTTGGATTCTAGGTTTCCATTTTTTTTTTTTAGAGGTTTTTGCTACAGGGCATATGTGTTCACCAGAGAGACAGAGAGACAGAAAGTGAGAAATTACCCCCTTGGGGGATAGCTATGCTGCAGTCCCTTTTCCTCCAATCTCCTTTTGGGATCTTGGGCATGCACGCACATGCGCCTGGCTTGAGTTTAAGCCACCAGGTCTGGGACTCAAAGCATGGTCGACTACATGTGAGTCCAGTGACATGCCATTACTCCAACTGCTGGTCCCACTTCCATTTACTCTTATGAGGGTGATAGAGCCCTGCCTCACAGGATTGCTTTGAGGACTGAATGGCATGTGTTTGAAACCCTAGCCTCCTATCTTATATGCAGTTAGTGTTGAGCAAATGGTTCCCATTCTTTGGTTTGCTGTGAGAATAGCAAACATAGTATTAAGGAGAAGGAGTTAAGAGTTGTCACCACTAGGACTCAGAGTGCCCATGGGAAATGAGTCTGGGCAGTGCCTTCCAGTGGATGATATTAAAAATGCAGGTGGTGGGATTTGGTGTCTCTAATGGAAACAGCCAAGTAGTTTTCCAGTTTGGAAAATAACTGGCTGCATTGAAGGCTGACTCATTTGACAATGTTGCCCCCCCCTCCCCTTTCCTGATGAGGTCGTTCTATGATGATTATCTTATCTCCAATGTCCTGTATCGCTCCTTTCCTCCTGTAGAATGTTATTAAAAACATGCTTAAAGGGCTAAGAAACATTTAGAGCTCAAGGTGGGGACTTTGTCTTTTCCTTTTCTTGTAAAAGATGAATATAATGACAGCTTCTCTTTTAAGACTGTGGAGATTTGATACCCTGGATTGTCTTGTCCAGCCAAGGTTCTTACTCACTGGGATTCCTGAATACAATATTATGATGTGTTCAGAGGGTCAATGCTGGTCAGCTTTCACAAGAGACCCACTTCCCTTATCCCATGGACATTCTCATAAAGCACCAGAGCAAAAGGCAAGGGAAAGCACACGGAGAGAGCTGACTACCATTAGGTAACCTGGGCTTTGGGGTTGGTCAGACCATTAATAAATACCATAATGTAGTAATTTTCAAAGAAGTTTTCATGAATACTTTTGCTGGTTCCCAGGATGGCCTGATGGTAGTGGGTCTCAGCTCTAGCTGCACATTATAATCACCTGGGAGTTTAAAATAACCCACAGACAATAATAATAATAATTCCAAAAATAAACAAAATTACATGCGTGCTTTATCTAAGGCCAACTAATTTAGAAATGCATCTTGGACATTGCTGATTTAGAAAAAAAATCCTTAGGTGATTTTAATGCGTTGAGAATCACTCATTTTGAGTTTAGGTGTCTTATTTCTTTGATAAGTAAAATGAAGCTTATTTCTTTCTCTTAACTCAGCTTGAAACACAGAGCAGAGAAGATGGGTATTACAAACACTTGCCTTTCCACGGTTGCTTCTCTGCTCATGGTATGACATTGGGGATGTAGCTTCTTCAAGAACCTCAATTATCAATGTAATACACTGTGAAGTTATATGTGATTCAATGTAATATAAACAAGATTATGATAAAAAAATTAAAGAACCTCATTTATCTATAAAGTGAAATAAGAATAGAGCCCCTACCCCAGAAATTCTTTTCTAGAGAGCACAATTTTATAAAGAACAAATTTCCCTTTTTGTCTCTTATTCAAGATTAAGCTAAGTTAATTTTTGACATTATATCCATGGTAGTTATCTATGCCAACTTCTGCAGGTCCTCCCTGCTTTCATCTTATGACCACTAGGGTGTTACTGGTCTGATAACCTGAAGAATAGGAGTTTAAAACATTTACAAGAAAGCACAGGATACCCTTGAATTCTTTACTCTGCACTCTCCCCTACTTGGCACACATAGGACACCAAGTTAATAGTCTCATGAATTCTAGGACTCTCGGATGAAAGAAAAATCAAAGGATATTCATCTCAACTTTCCCATCTGTAGCATCTCCGTGACAGTGGCTTGTCTTAACTGCAAGAATAACTTAATCCCACTATGAGATTGACTGTAGTTGAACCTAAATCCATTGTCCTATAATTCCCAGAATTTATCCTGTACTTTTTCACACAGAAGATGATAGCTATGTTTTCCCATGACAGTACTGTAGACTTCTCTAGGTTGAATCAACTATTTTCCATGGGGCCTGGGTTTTAGTCCCTTCTGCAACCTGCTTACTGCTCCTTAGCCTAGCTATTTTTGTTTGTTTGTTTGTTTTGGAGAGGTTTTTGCTATAGGGCACGTGCGCTTGCCAGACAGACAGAGACAGAGAGTCAGAAAGCGAGAAACCACTCCCCATCCCGTCGGATG